GGAAATTTGGAAGGTGGTAATGCGTTTTTACTGGGAAAGAATAACAGCTTGACATCTACTGATTGAGACCAAGTCAATTTAAGAATTTGCAGGTTTTTTTCTTATCGTTCTCTTTCCTGCCTCCAGTTTTCCTCCATTTAAGTTTGCATGAAATAACAAATAAGGAAGAAGCCGGAAGGAAATATTTTTCTATTTATTGCTAATAAAAGAGATGCAACAAATGAAAATCATCAGAGACATCCTAATGGCGAACTCATGTTCCCTGAACTACGTAACAACACTCAAAAACTGGTGTTATGACTTACCGCATACTCATGACCAGGAATTCACTTTGAGCATAAATAGTACAGGATTTTAAACTGCAGAAGACAATAAAGATACTTCAAAGTTTTCTTAGCTAGTAAACAGACAGCACAGTATTGTTTGCTTTCATGAACAAAGATGTAATGATCTTACAAGTGAACTGTCTGTAAATTCTTATATGCAGTAGTTCCACTAAATCTTCAAAGGAAAAACATCTCTTTAATTAATACCAACTGAAGTTAAATGAAGGAAGTAGAGACTGAAAGGCTTGATTTCATTTATAATTTTAAATCTTTTGACTGAGATTATTATCCATGAAAGAAATGATTAACAAAAAAATAATTCAAGATTTGTATTTAGATTTCAAAAAGCAGGCACTAGCGAAAGAAGAATGTACCCGTATCTGATACCATCAGAAAGACAAACAAAACCCCAAACCATATCTGTACCCTTATCATGTCGAGAATACAGGACATAATTCTGATATTCTAAGATGTGCTGAAGATTCTAGCTTTCAGCAATCAAAATTCCACTAGTTTGAAGTCACTGGGATCACAAATATTAAGCAAGGACTCAAAAGTGTTTTACTTTGCTGGATAGGGGCCAGAGCACTTCACTAAAGTCACAAAGCCTTCCCATGAGTAAATCCCCTTGCCTGGAAAAGCAACTACCCACAGATCTCTGTGGGTCACTAAGAGAACATGACCCTTCACACCTCCCCATCAACTACACACAAACAGTCCTTCTTTGTGAAACTATTTTTAAACTGGTTTGCTATGAGTTGCTACTGCAGTACCTTTTATTCTCCTGGCTAAAATGGAAAATGAAGAATTCTGCTGAATGCAACAACTAATGCACTTTATACTTGGTAAAGAAATGCAGAAATGCAGAGTTCAACTCAGCATTTTAATTCAGAAAGCTTCCTGTTTTACTGCTTAAATTTGAATGAATCACAGGCTTGCTTCTCTTAATATGAAACTACATGGAAAGCAAATAAGAGGTTATATATTGTTCACCAGAAGGACAAGAACACACCCTGAAAAACAGAAGTAAAAGTGCATAGGAGTAAATAATTGTATTTCTCTGCATTAGTTTAAACCTTTACATCATTATGCTGCAAAGCACATTAATTTTTAGCACTAGACAGGAAGAATTTAGATCTCCTTGCGGATAAACGCAAAAAAGGAGATGTCACAGTGCAAACACAACTCTACATGTTACCACTATACGC